TCCAACTATCTTATCTCGAAACGCAGCTAAATTTCGGACGTAATCTCTTATGAAGTATCCCCGTGGACTACAACAGGGTGTCCCAAAAATGTCTCACAATCCGGATATGGCGGGTTCCTCGGATCATTTGAAGCAGCTTCTTCCTTTACAAAAATTTTCTCCGAGGCACCGTTAACGAGTTATTAACGGAAAACAGTGACCAATAAGAATCGAGTACTGCTGACGCGAGGCGGCCCAGCCAACCAGCGCGCAAAGCCCAGTTCCGCTCATTGGCTCGGTCGCCTCGCGCCAGCTGAGTTCGCCTCTCATTGGTCACTGTTTTTCGTNAAATGCTAATTATCGGTCGAGGACCGGGGATCCGAGCGTTTACGACTCTCTTCGGAGAGAATGCTGTCAAGATGCCTTACACCCTCGCAGCTGGTGACCCAAATCACCGGCCCCACGAAAAAATAATTTATCAATCTTTATTCGAGCATCGCAGACCCTCGGTCCCGAGTGAATTCTTTTTTTAAAGTTCCTCGGTAGTCCTCGCGTTTCCAACTATCTTATCTCGAAACGCAGCTAAATTTCGGACGTAATCTCTTATGAAGTATCCCCGTGGACTACAACAGGGTGTCCCAAAAATGTCTCACAATCCGGATATGGCGGGTTCCTCGGATCATTTGAAGCAGCTTCTTCCTTTACAAAAATTTTCTCCGAGGCACCGTTAACGAGTTATTAACGGAAAACAGTGACCAATAAGAATCGAGTACTGCTGACGCGAGGCGGCCCAGCCAACCAGCGCGCAAAGCCCAGTTCCGCTCATTGGCTCGGTCGCCTCGCGCCAGCTGAGTTCGCCTCTCATTGGTCACTGTTTTTCGTTAATAACTCGTTAACGGTGCCTCGGAGACAATTTTTGTAAAGGAAAAGCTTGCTTCAAATGACCCGAGAAAATCGCCACTTTCGGATTGCGAGACATTTTTGGGACACTCTGTATAATCATACTATAATCCTGGTGTTACGATCCGATTGTGAATTTCAGCGATTCGTACAGCCACGCTGTAAACGGCACGTTCCTTACATTGTAACACTCGATTGCTTCTTTTCGCGCCAAAGCGTATAAATTACGTCCTAGAAAGTAGCCGATTTTCTGCTCCCGTTAAAATCGCCACTGCATCGCCGCGTTATCGGCCCAGAACAGGCGAGCCTCCGGTTAGTTAGTATGCATGCTCGAAAAGTTTCACTTCAACTTCGCCGACAGTGGCAACGTAACGCTCGCCGCGACAGTGCGAGCTGTTCAATCGATCGAAACGGATTCGATCGGTTTCGCGATTTCCAGAGCTAGGATGCATCGGCTGCTCGAATCGCGGCGAAGATCCCATTCAAAACTCTCGCAGCATCGGCGCAATTCGTCGAATCTCGAGGAACCCTTTCCGAAGTATAATCTCCGGATCGCGGGGATCGAGATCGACGCAGAGGAGATCGCGATTTTTCCCTCGCCGAAAACCGGAATACCGGCTGTTGGACGCGCGGTCCGCAAAGGACCTCCGGGGTAGAAGGGGTCAAAGGACCATCGTCCGTTTCCGAATAGAAACCAACAAATTGTTCAGCGTCTCGGCTCGAGGCGTTACCCCCACCCGGCCGGCAGGGTGTTGCGCCAGGTTTACCACTCGGCTCGCGCTATCTGGACACCTGAATCGAGAGGATTTTCACAACGCCGCGCTGCCTGACGCGAGAGAGCTCCGGCTAGGTTGTCGCGTGGGCGACCGGAAACCGTACCTTCCTACCGTCTTTGGTCGTCACTCGACGACTCCGCACGGGAAGGGGTGCACGGGGCACGGAGGGGGGGCAAACGCGAGAGGAGAGGAGAGGAGAGGAGAGACAGAGAGAAGAAAGAGAGAGAGAGAGAGAGAAAAGGCAGACCGGCCGAGAACTGGCGCAGGCTCTCCTTCGACGTTCTCCAGCCAGTACCCGCGACCGAGGGCGGATCTGTCCTCATCGTCGTCGTTACAAGTCCGACGTTGCACCAGGGACCAACTGGGACTCCGACGTAACCGTTCGTCCTGGAAAATCATCGGGAAAACGACGAGATTCGCCGGTCGGTCCGGAAACAGACGCCGACGGGTCTGCGCAGGCTGCTCGCCGATGAGTAGACTTCGCGAATTAATAGCATTGTTCTTTTATCAGGTCCAGTCATTAATAGCTTCCGTTTTCTTATCAGACACTATAAGACTGCTTCTTTTTCATTTATCTTTTCGTTCCTTCATTCTATTTATTTTGAACCCTTATTCTGTGTCCAGCGAAAACTCGTTTGTTCCGGTGACTCGTTGTGGACAGACGCGAACAACAGCTGCGTCGGAAGTTATTTATTTATTTATTTACTATTTATTTAGTTACTTATTTACCTGCTCAATATACTCGCGAGTCTACGACCCGGTGGATCGCGGAGAAGGATCTCGAGGATCTAGGATCGCTCGACGTTGCACCAGGGACCAACTGGAAATCGCAGACGGCGACCGTCGGATTCCCAAGACGGTTGACCCGTGGAGCCCCGTTGCCGAAGAGTCCTGTAAGAGGATCCCAGGATACGCGCTGCAATTACCGGCGAACAACCCTGGCTGTGCGAACCAATGCAATCGCTCTCGGTGGAAAAATCTTGTTTATCGCCGGAAAATGAGGGTTTGTAAACGAGGTGTTCGAGACCGTTGCGTCACGGAAAGTCTAACGGTGATGGACCAATGGAGGCTCGTCGTTGATGAGTCCACGGTCTAGGGTCACTGTAAAAGGACCGAGGTTTCACGGCTGTCCGACGATTGGCTGTCGCGTGAAAGTTGGCTTCGATCGGAGCCGATGGTGTGGGTAAACGAGCAATTTGCAGCTGCGCCGAGTATCCGCCGCGATTTGGATACCTGCGCGAGCGATACTATGCCAGATAAGTTGCTCGGGCTCGGACCGTGGACTTTGGGACTTCATGTGAAGCATGAATGAACCGCGCCGCCGATTTCGCTGTTCGTTAACGCGTTCGATGGCTCGAGCTTCTTCGGGACCGTTAACACTAGATTTACAGGATTCGTTAAATTGACGGGTCAGTAATTTTTTAATTTATGATTGTTCGTATCGTAGAGATACGTTTATGAGTTATTTATTCAATTTGTATGTTACTCATGGCAAATGTTACAATAACACTTGTTTAAAATCAGAGTAAATGTTGTTTTTTGTGCTCCGAAAATCTGGTGTTAATACTAGATTTGTAAAACCCGTCAAAATGACGGGTCAGTAATTTTTTAATTTATGATTGTTCATATCGTAGAGATACGTTTATGAGTTATTTATTCAATTTGTATGTTACTTATGGCAAACGTTACAATAACACTTGTTAAAAATCAGAGTAAATGTTGTTTTTTGTGCTCCGTAAATTTAGCGTTAATACTAGATTTATGAAACCCGTAAAAATGACGGGTCAGTAATTTTTTAATTTACGATTGTTCATATCGTGGAGACACATTTATGAGTTATTTATTCAATTTGTATGTTACTTATGACAAATGTTACAATAACACTTGTTAAAAATCAGAGTAAATGTTGTTTCTTGTGCTCCGTAAATCTAGCGTTAACACTAGAATACGGAACCCGTCGAAATGACGGGTCACCAATTTTTTAATTTACGATTGTTCATATCGTAAAGATGGATTTATTCAATTTGTATGTTACTTGTGGCAAATGTTACAATAACATTTGTTAAAAATCAGAATAAACGTCTTACCATTACTTTTCCAAACTAATATAAAACAGCTGTTTTTCGTACTCCGTAAATCTAGTGTTAATGAGCTGGCTTCTTCAAAGTAGTCATTATTGTGTAACCTTAATCCTTCGCACTTGGTTGCAGCCGTCGAGGAGATATTGGTAATATATATTCTCGATAACCATAACAGCGATACTACTTTCCTTATTTCGTGGTAAAGCGAACCGATCGAAGAGAGACCTTTCATTGCATTGTCCGGGAAGTTCATTTCGTTTCTTGATTAAATTGCAGTTCTGCGCGAAACGGTTTTCGCCGCGTTGCTTCGAAGTCAAATGAAAAAAAAAAAAGAAAATGAACGCGCTTGATGTTGAGCACGATAAATGTTTGATTTCGCGAAGAGACTGGACGTTGATGTTGTCGATACACATTATGGTATCGAGTAACGCCCCGGGCGTCGTGAATGAAATTAATAATTTTGTATACAGGCCGTTGCGCGTGTTCGACGCTAAAAATTAATTCCGCCGATATTCAGCGGACTGATTGAATCGTTATATTTTTAAGGACGTGTAAGCCATCTATTAAACCAAAATGGAGAATCCACTTGAGGGTAACACGTTCCAGTCCCGCGCACCATATATGGGTCACGGCGATTTTAAATAAAAAGTTAATAAGTCTCGCGTAATTGAGGACAACAAGTACTACAAGTAGAATTAACGCGATCACAGTGTCACGTACCATATACGGGCCACGATAATTTTCAGTAAACTGTTAATAAATTACGCGTAATCGAAGAAAACAGGTATTACGAGTAACGTTAACCTGAATGCGTTCTTAAAAGTGCCGATCTCTTTCTCGAAAGAAGATAGCTGAAGTAATAATCACCGTCCTCCGCTCCGATGTGTCGTAAGCCCGCGATAATTTAGACTCGCCGTGTGTACTATTACTTATTAATTCTAGAAAAACCGTCGCCGTTCGAGCTTCCCGCTAAATATAAAAAATACATAAAAACATCCGCGTAATCGCAGCGAACTCCTATCATTCTAATAAGCTCGATACAATTTCCTGTGTTTTCGCGCGCGCGCGTTTTAAAGCCCGCCACGTTTTTCTAAGAGCCGAATCAAGTCGACGGTTAATCTGTCGCGATATTATTAGCGGCCACATTCCCTCCGTCGTCGTAATCGTTGCCTTGGATTCGGATAAAAAAAGAAAAGGTGTGCAAACAAATTCATATAAAAAAAAAAACAGGAGAAACAATTAGGTTAGAACGAAAATGACTCACCGATTGCCGAAGCCGAGAATGTTGCCAGGCTGGTTCGTTAACTCTGCCGCGAGAATTGCCGAAAATGGTAACGAGGGTAGCGAGCGTCGCGGAGGGGTGACTTCCGGTTCCACGCGAAGGGTGGATCAAGGTCGACGACAGCCGTCGAAACTCGCTGAAAGACAGAGAAAAAGTCTCGGAGTCTCGGCGGCGTAGCTGCGGGAGGAGGGGGCAGGAAGAAGAAGAAAAAAAAGAAGCGGGAGAAGAAAAAAATATGCTATCTAGGCTCTTCGGATGATAGAAAGGTGATGACCTCGATCCTACGCCTGCCGCGTATAAAACGCCGTTCCCGTCTTGCACCTCGTTCCGCCTGTTTCTGCTCGCCTGTTCTGACTGGCCTGCCCACGCCTGCCCTTCTGTCAATTATATTTACTATTTCATTCATACCGGCCGCCGCTTGGTCCACGAGCCGTGCCCATTCACGAGAACGGCCGCGCATGCCAGATCGCTCGCGCCCGATGGCTATCCGATAGGGTAGCGCCTCCATATATGATTCGGATGGGAGTGCACCACCGGCAAAAATGTAATTTGCCGTAATCTAGGATTATACGTGGTTGCGTAACACCGACGCCAGATGTATTGCCTGCTCTGCCCATCTAACGGGTGTCCTCCGCCGTAATCGAACCGTCCCGACATTTTCCGACGGCAGAATGGTACCTCGAGCTTCCATTCGGTAGACGGTTGTTTCATATTCGAGATTTTTCTATTCACAATCCTGTAACACTAAACCTATCGTGGTCAAAAGTTATTTTACAACTGCATATATTTACAGTTATTATACGACTGCATGTGTATACAGTTGTATTATATATACAGTAATTATATATTCAGTGATTATATATACAGTAACTATATATTCAGTAATTATATATACAGTTATATATATGTAATTACTGAATATATAGTTACTGTATATATAATCACTGAATATATAATACAAGTGATTATATATACAGTAACTATATATTCAGTAATTACATATATATAACTGTATATATAATTACTGTATATATATATATATATATATATATAGTGATTATATATACAGTAATTATATATATACAGTAATTATATATACAGTTATTATATATACAGTAACTATATATTCAGTAATTACATATATATAACTGTATATATAATTACTGTATATATATATATATATATATATACAGTAATTATATATACAGTTATATATATGTAATTACTGAATATATAGTTACTGTATATATAATCACTTGTATTATATATTCAGTGATTATATATACAGTAACTATATATACAGTTATTATACTGTCTCTTATACACATCTAGATGTGTATAAGAGACAGATATATATACAGTAATTATATACTGTAAATATTTACATATTTACAGTTATTCTACAACTGTATAAACTTTAGAAACTATTTCTATTGGAGGACGCTTCGGTAAATTACATTACCAGAGCAAGTTTTATGAGAAAGAACTTGACAAAATTGAAATGAAATTGATCATTTCACTTTCAGCAGATAATTCTTGCTAAGTATTGTGTTAATTGACATACTTCACTCGAGAATAAGTGCACAAAGAATCCTAAGATAATGCTTCATTCGTTTAACCTTTACATTCTGGATTGATAAATCGTGTTCCCTTTTTAATGCCACGTTTTCAGAAAAAGAGCTCGTCACATCCGATAAAAGCGTTTTAGAATATTTTTGCAAAAATAAAGGTGTCGATTTTCAGTCTGTGAAAGTTATACGTTGCATTCAATTACACATGCTTGACAAAATTGATCCACGAATGACAGAATAAATTTGAGAAAAGAATGAACGACATTTTGCGTGTACAGTGGAATCTCGATTATCCGGACCGGTCTCGGAGACTTAAATGTGCGGATATTGAAACAATTACTTAATCAGAAGGCTGTCCGACATATTTACCGTGTCGTATAATTAATTTAGATGCTACGCATCGTTTCAGATCGTATTGGGATAATTGGAATAATTGAAACGAATTGGAAATTGGAATTGAAATAAATCAGGCATTGGTGATCCAGAAAATTCGAGGTCCTGCTGCACTTCATAATGCGTTTAATTAGCAATCTTGTCATTTCAAGAACGTCTTACAACGTAGATAAATAGAAGTGGAATAAAGAGTTGATTTTTCAGACTGACAATCTTATATTCTGAAAATGACTTTTCACAGCAAAAGACTGTGTTTGATAAAGACTGAGCTTTCACAGCTAATCTGCCGCAGATGGTGGAAATGATTTAGGACAATAGCGGCAGCATCACCCAGTACGCAGTGTTACATAAGATAGGAGCGCCGCAGGATCCTCAACCGGCAGTTGTATTAGGATTCAGAAAAGCGCGCAAGCCATTAATCAGTTTGGCCGTTCGGCGCGCGCGCGCGCGCGCGGAATCCGAAGTCGCGAGCGTTTTACGGAAGGATTTCATGACTCGTTGCTTAACAGGCTGCTACCTCGAAGCGTTTCTTTGCTTTCTCACCGAACCCTTTGCCGGCCCCCGGTGACCGTGGGAATTTCGACCGGGCACCCAAAGTGGGTACCCTCACTAATCGGGCGCTAATTCGGCTGATGCGCTGCGGAAACAAACGCCGGCACCTCACTAATTCGTGAAAGACAACGTGAAAAAAGTTCCTCGGCTTCGGTTTAATGAGGAACGGCGCATCGAACGCAGCACACTTTACCTGCGAAACGTTTTCGAATCAATTAGCGAACTTGAGAAAATTACGGACTCGTTGATTATTACGTGCATGGAAAATTAACACATACAAAATTAATCGGACGATTTTTTATCCGAAGTATAAGATCGCGAGCGATCGATTGTTAACCTTTTAGGCACGACGCGCCACTATAATGGCTTTCGCGGATGTCATCTTTCAGAACGACACGCCACTATAGTGGCTTTCGCGGATGTCATCTCTCTGGACGACGCGCCACTATAGTGGCTTGCTCTAGTAGCTCACTCGCTCATCGTTTGAACCAAATGATCGTCTTCATATGCATTGTTTCACACTTCTTTTGTCTTCGCATCGATTTACAACAGTCTACAGGATGTCCCAAAAATGTCTCTTAATCCGGAAATGGCGGGTTCCTCGGACCATTTGAAGCAACTTCTTCCTTTACAAAAATTTCCTCCGAGGCACCGTTAACGAGTTATTAACGAAAAACAGTGACCAATAAGAATCGAGTACGGCTGACGCGAGGCGGCCCAGCTAACCAGCGCACGAAGCCCAGTTCCGCTCATTGGCTTGATCGCCTCGCGCCAGCTGAGCTCGCCTCTCATTGGTCACTGTTTTTCGTTAATAACTCGTTAACGGTGCCTCGAAGAAAATTTTTGTAACGGAAAAAGTTGCTTCAAATGGCCTGAGGAACCCGCCACTTTCGGATTGCGAGACATTTTTGGGACATCCTGTATATACAGACAAAATATACAGTATCAGACTCTGTACAGTACATATCAGACTCTGCTGTCCAGAGAAATAGCCTCGCGCAGAATTCGGCCGTACCTAAAAGGTTAAGAGAACATTCTCATCCGTTTAGGAACAGTTTCTCGAAACTCTGTTAATTTTGAATCGACGCCCGGGTTGCTTGTTTGACCGACGATATTTATGGTTTCCATCGAGTACGGGCTGACAGGGGATGTGGCGTTCCCCGCGAACGCTGAAAATTCACGGGTTAAGGATCAGCATTTCACGATCCAGAGGAGATTAATTGCTGTCGGCGCGCATACGGCAGTGCCCACGCGAGTTCGAGAGCGATACAGGTCAGCTCTGGCTGCTCTCCGTCGTTTTGCATGAGTTTCTGCGAGTTTTTTTCTCTCGCCTCGCGCGGACTTTTGAAATCGTCGATGATCGAGAATCGGATCGGCACGCGTCAGAAGAGACACGGACCGACGCCGCCGGCCCGCAGAGACGATTTCCTTCCCGTCGGAAGAGATGAGGTCAACGTTATTTTCTAATAGATGAAACACTCGACGAAAGCCGCACGCACACTCGCGCGCCTGATAACCCGAATAATTAAGTTTCCACGTTGATTCTCGTATTCCTATAAAGGCATCGCCTCTCGCGCCCACGCTCAATTCCTTTTCGACTCTCCTGTGAGAGAGAAAGAGAGATAACGAGGGAGAGAGAGAGGGAGAGAGAGAGAGGGAAAGAGAGAGATAACGAGAGAGAGAGAGAGAGAGAGAGAGAGAGAGAGAGAGACGGACCACAGCTCCGTGATTGCAAAGCCGTTTCAGAATCTAATGATGTTTTCTCGTAACGCGGCTGTGGAACTCGTTAACGATCGTCCGCCTGTTATCTGTATTATCGTAGTCACCGTGCGATCGTTCTCACGAGTTCCGATTATGACGAAATAATTCTCAGTTTTAGCTGCAGGAAAGTGCTTTTACGAATTTATGTTGCTCCGTTACGTGGCTAAAAATCATAAATAATAATTGCAGGTTCATTTGGAGATATCGAGAGTCATTTCGTCCTCCATTTTTCATTTCAGCTAATTATGTACAGCCGTTTACTGCGTTCGAATCTCTTTTATCAGGAGAATTCGATGGCAAAAAAATATTCCGAGGATACAGAAATGTGCAGGAGAATCTTCTGCGTCAATAATGTCCGACGAAAGTTTATTTATTGTTGAAAATAACGAGAACATATGATTCTTACCGCTTTTGTCGTAAGGTACTACGTATAATCCGGCACGAATCATCTGCGCTTGAAAATATGAAAATAGCGCCATTGGATGCGGTGGCAAAACGCTCAAACTGTTGACCAAAATCGACCGATGGCAGTCTTGGATAGCGGTTTTAGCGTTTTGCCACCACACCAATTGGCGCTGAAAGAATCCCGAACGAAGCTTCTTTGTTTCTCCGAAAGAGGCGCCACCATAGTGTTTTTTTTTTATTTTCAATAATAAATTGATAATATTGATAGAGGAAAATCTCCTGATTATTCCTGTACCCTTCGAATGTATTTTTGATCCCTACAGCGTCTATAATAATAGCCACCATCACACACTATAGACATCAACCATTGTACATGTTTTTAAGTCACTTCTGAGATCATATCCAAGAATGTTTATAAACAACACATTAAAATACTGATAACTGAATATTTTTATCAAAGAAATTCAGTGAGTTTTCTCTTATTTAAATCAGGAATCTTAAAATAATACGATCGACGATTAATGATTTCGTAGCTCGATCGGTACATTCGACGGAAGTTTACCTCGATGTACGATCGCAGAAAATAACCCACATGTTGCCTCTCTGTTTTCGTTCTGCCATTCGATCAGCTGATCAGCCATGGAGACTTCAATCTTGAACGCGGTAAGTAGTCATTTTGTATTATCGAGTTTTTTGTCGGCCCGAGCGAGCAACAATTTCGTCTCCACCCTGTGAATTAATAATTTATAAGTATCGGGATTATTAGCTACCGTTATAGTTCTCGTTTCAGCAAGCAGTTTTGCTAGTTTTTTCCTGAATATGTGACTGTGCGAGGTACGTCGTCACGATATCGACGCATCTGCATCGTCTGTTACTGTTCTCCTCTTTATTTTAGTTTCAAAGCTCTTGTACGCCTCTCGCCATCAGTTTAGTCCTCTATTGGTAGAGCTGTGTGTACAATACATTCTTCTGTTACAGGCACACGAAAGGCAACGAAGAGCAGAAGCGTTATTGCAAGCGGGACGGTTCGAGGAGGCAGCCAAGTGCCACGAAACAGTAGCCAGTCTCCTGGGGGAAGCGCACGCCAGACTCGAGTCAACCTACTTACGCTTCAGGACCTCCACATTATCTAATCAAACTCCTCCAACTGTGATTAACTCATTCCATTCCTTAGTCACTTTAGAATCTCTGAAATTACAACAAGATTACCATAAAAGGCAGGCTGCCATAGTTAGGTAAGTATTGCTACAATTTTTGATCAACCAAAAAATCGACTGTGATATCTAACATCCTAGAATAAAACAAGCTCAGTACGAAGAATACAAAGCTACGCTGGAGAATCAGCAGAGAGAGATCAACAAGCAGGCATCCAAGAAGTTGGAGGAAGAGGCATCCAACGTACCTACGGATAAATGCGACGGATCTCTGCGCCAGGCCATATACAGGACCATCGAAGAGCAGGACAGCCTGCTGACTTTGATCTCATTACCAGATGACGAAGGGGAGGGTTTTAAGTACCCGAAAGACGCTATCACGATCATCGAGGAGCTGAAAACCGTTAATTACCAATTACGCTGTCTGGTTGGAAGTTTGCTGAGTCAGTTGGAAACCAAAGAGGAGGAGGTCCGGCAACTGACCGAGCAACTGAAGACCGTGTCCGTCAATCCCAACGACGACGCCAGATTAGATAATGCACATTCGATGCGCCTCGCGCCTCTGCCGCCGCTGACACCTCTCGAGATGCCCCTTTTCGACTTCACGTCGACGTAAAACGTTGCGCAACCGTATCGCTCGGTTTCTTTTCCTTCCCTTATTTAATCGAATCTTCCATGACACCCGTGAACAGGATACTGTAAAAAGAATGAGTCGAATCAGGATTCGCACAAATAGTACAAAAGCGAACGTCGCCATGGTGTTCGGTCCCTAGGCACAGTATGTATACTCAAAGTTCAAGTGTACAACAATCAAAGTTTCGGGTCGTACAATGGCAGGATCTTATCTCTTATCGATTACGAAGACATAGTACTTATGTTCGCCCGTTGTTTGATGCTATTCGGAGGGATCAAAATACATATCATCTGTAGGTACCGTTTAGGCAGTCGGTGCGCACCCTATTTCGCAAAGTTCTACGTCTACGAGTACCATAGAAAAATGACACGGCTTCCCGCGGATCGACATACTGCCACGCGAATTTAGGCAGATCATGATAATAGGATATAAGTAACAAATCTCCACCGTCGCGCGATAAAGCGTCGGTGTTTCTGCGTGTGTGTGTATAACCGTTTGTCAATCGTCACTTACGTGTTGTGTGAACTACTCGTTGCTTGATCTGTTTTAATGTTACCGTCAAATACGTGTGAGATCTTTGGAATACTTTATTATATACTATGTATTGTTGCTCAATAAATCATCCAACCGAAACACTCCGCTTTTCACCACTCTTATGCTAATACAACGCATATCTTGTTCCACGACGATCAACTGTTTCGTGTTTAAAATCGAATACAAAACATAGAATCTTCGAAGACGGTCTACACTAGAATTGTTTCCAGACAAAAATGATTATAACAGAAGCAGAATAAATTCTCAAAATTCACTCCGATCGTCTGTCTTCGTTTTTATCACGTGCAACAGTTAAGAAATTGTCGAACTAAAAAGCACGAGAAGTTGTCTTCGATTCCACTATACCAAAAAATGTGACTCTCTGTCAAATAAATCGGCAGCCTTCGGCCCCGTGGCTCTCCAGCCTTAAAATGATTTCCAAAAACCCGTAAAATTTGTCGTTAGAAAATAAGGAAACATATACACATTTGGCAATTCACCAAATCTTCCTAGTGTCTTAATCATCGGGTCGATGTCCAATAAAATGATTGTTGCTGTCGCGATCGAGGAACGGAAAATTCGCGGCTGGGAGGCAGGGGAACGATGGATCAATCGGGGGAAGTGGTAACAATTTTCATAGGACAGGCCGGAGCTCAATTAGCGATGGCCTGTTGGGAGCTGTTCTGCTTGGAACACGGTCTTTTGCCAAACGGTTGCATCTGTCCGGGCTACTACCCTCAAGAATCTTCGGTTTGCACGTTCTTCGCGCAGCTGAATGTGAGCGAAACGTGCGAACAGATTTTTCGAACGGTCTCATGAAAGGAACGATCAATTTCGCAGCAGAGACAAATGACTCCGCACACGGTGATCGTCGATCTCGAGCCCACGGTGATCGACGAGATTAGAACCGGCCCGTACTGCAAGCTGTTCGATCAGCAGTCGTTGATTTCCGGGAAAGAGGATGCTGCGAACAATTTTGCGCTGGGCTACGGACCCATTGGCTGCGAGATGTTAGATATGGTGGTGAATCGTGTTTGCAGGATTTGGGAACGGTGCTCGAAACCGACTGGATTCATCGTATTTAGGTACAGTAAATTTTCTCCGATTGTCTCTCAGCTTGGAAACAAAAATGGACAATTTGGGAAGAGGAGATATTGTTATTTGCGATGTTTGAATGCAGTAAGTTCTCTCCAATTGTTCCTCGGCTTGTAGATAAAAATGGACAATTTGGGAGGAAGAGATATTATTATTTGCGATCTTTGAGTGCAGTAAATTCTCTCCAATTTTTCCTCAACTTGTAGACAAAAGTGGACAATTTGGGAAGAAGAGATATTGTTATTTGTGATCTTTGAATGCAGTAAATTCTCTCCAATTGTCTCTCAGCTTGTAAACAAAAATGGACAATTTGGGAAGAAGAGATATTGTTATTTGTGATCTTTGAATGCAGTAAATTCTCTCCAATTGTCTCTCAGCTTGTAAACAAAAATGGACAATTTAGGGGGAGGTGATATTGTTATTTGTGATCTTTGAGTGCAGTAAATTCTCTCCAATTGTCCTTCAGCTTGTAGACAAAAAAGGACAATTTGGAAGGAAGAGATACTATTATTTGTGATCTTTGAGTGCAGTAAATCTTCCCCAATTTTCCCTCACCTTGTAGACAAAAATGGACAATTTGGGAGGAAGAGATACTATTATTTGTGATCTTTGAGTGCAGTAAATTCTCTTCAATTGTCCCTTAGTTTGTAAACAAAAATGGACAATTTGTGAGAAGAAGATACTGTTATTTGCGATTTTCTAGTAATCGTCGATTGTCAATAACTATAAAAATGAGCCGCAAGGCTCGAATAATCGTATTTTGATCTCATTTCAACGAGAAACGAGTCGATCTCGTCGTACAGTTTGGTTCTATGCTATACATTCGTATTTTAGGTGATAATAAAAACTCTTTACGACTCTCGATGATCAATCAATCGGCTCGTAACAATTTATATTTCCATAAAGATCTGAAATCTATTGATCAACGCGGTAGTTCATGGCTTCTGCATTTTATTGAAGACCTGCAGTAAAAATATTCTCCTTAATCGACGTTCAGATTCTACACAAAAATAGTAAATTTGGGAGGAGAAGATACGATTATTCGAGCCCTGCGCCTCATTTTCATAAATGTTAACAATCGAGAACTGTAAAAATGAGCAGCAAATTGTCCATTTTTGTTTTTAAGCTGAGGGACAATTGGCCAGAATTTACTGCATTCGGATGCTGGGTAGAGAATAAAAGCGAGGATGTTACCAGATTTCTCATATTTTCCAAGGTCGCTGAGCGGCGGAACCGGCGGCGGATTCGGCAGTATGCTCTTAGAACGCCTGACATGCGATTTCCCGAAGCACGTCACAGTTGACTTCACGATCTGCCCCGCTCCGAATTTGTCATCCGTCATCGTCGAGCCTTACAACGCTGTTTTAGCAACGCATGTTAGCGTGGATCACGTGGACTGCTGTTTCCTCGCCGATAACGAGGCTCTGTACAGCATCTGCGGAAAGTACGACCCGTTATATTTTATATTTATTTTATATATTATATTATATATTATGTATTTATATATTTAATTATATATTATATTATATATTATGTATTTATATATTTAATTATATATATATATTATATATATATTTTTTTATTATATATTTATATATTTAATAATTATATATTTATATATATATATATATATATATAATTTAACTCGACGTCGATGA